AAAAAAAAGACAGGAAATCTAATTAAAAATATATATATATTATTGGGGAAAAAATCAGCTATTTACACATTTCAGATATAAAGAAATATCCAAAATTCTTCTGGCAAAAAGTTCAAAATAATTTTCTATTAAGAGTTGAAATGTATACTTTTTCTAAGATGCTGCCAGCTCTAAGCCAATCTTTTTTTTAATTCTTGAAAAGCCAAGTTAAACTTGTTTAAATTGTAATAGCGCTATGTATGAGGGGTTTCAGAGTTTGTGAAAATAAGAACTGAAAGATATTTTTTTGGATTAAAAATCAACTAGATTTTTAAAAAATAAAAGAAACCATAGCCAAATTAGTAAGTTGACTTCACTCACACACTTCAAACTAAATATAATGATTTCACCAAGTTAAAATCTCCCTTTAAATACGTAACATATTCACCTATGTTGAATCTGCAATATTTAGGTCTCTCCCCAAACCCAGACCCCAAAATAGAAAGTTTAACCTGCAATGGAACTAAATGGTTGTTTTTAAAAGTATTTGTGCCATATATATTCTTTCTTACAACCCTTAATGAAACCTAATATAGTTAAGTTCTGTAACTCACAAACTTAAGAATAAAATAAAAATGCCTTTTAAGTTCGTAGCACCAGAACTGGCTGTATTAATACTACCACTAGTTAAGTGCTCAAAAGCCAGGGAAAAAATATTAGTCAATTGATTGTTTTTTCACATTTCTATTGAAAGCCATTTTACCCTTCTCTTATCAAATGGATAGAAACTACAGGACTTATTATTGGTTTGGATAAATTTTCGAAAACTCATTTGCTACACAATTCACTGGATTCATTCCATTTGAGATCTTAAAAATGTCAAGCAGTTAGTATGCTTGACTATTTCATATTTCAACTTAATATGCGCTGTCAAGGAACAGTCTAAGGCCAGTAAGAAGATATCTGCAGCCTTCATACAGCACTTAAAGAAACACAAAGAAAGTAAGTCAGAAGTCAAGGAGGATAATTCTCAGATAAAGGCTGAGTGTAGCAGAAGACTAGAAAGCTACCAGAGGACTTATCAGGAAGTAACGCGGCCCTCAGCTGCAGTATCACTGACCCGTAACCTCCTGCCCTGCACACAATCAGTCCTTAAGGACCCTGGGACTAAGTGGTTGTTTTAAAAAGTTCCATGTCCTATTTACACTTTCCTACAACTCTTATCAGAAACCTAATGTACTTAAGTTCCATAATCCACAGACACAAATTGCCTACCCAGTGACATGCCAAGAGGGACAATCAGAAATATAAAATGTCACCATCATAAAAAAAGAAATGAGAAAGATTAGGATTTAAAAGGGGGTCAATTGGTTGTTAAAGTCACAGCCTTAACTAAATACCATCAATACTGTGCTTTTTTTTTAATCTCTAAAAACATTAAGGGAAAAAAAAAAAAAAAGGCTTATTAAAATAGCTTCCTCTATACATATATAATAAGCTCCTAACTTTCAAATGAGCGAAATTACAAAAACCCATTTCTTCATAAAGATGCATTTCCCCAGAGGAAAATATAAACAGTGGTTCATTTCTGAAGTTGCCCTACCAATAACTACTTAACCTATATTCTATTGACATACAGTATAGTGAGAAATGAAATGTGCATGTATCAGCAATGCTTCAAGGGCATAGCAGTAGTTCAACGGACACAATAAAAGCCCAGCAGAAGAGACAAGGGGACATACGAGAACTGTGAGCACACTTGGGTTTAACCTGACTCTTCTATCTATCCATCTATCCATCCATCCATCCATCTACCTATCTATTCGACCACAGGTCAGTTTGAACCGCAAATCTGACCCTATACTTGGTCATTATGAGTCAGGACTGACTCAACACTTGAACAACAACACTATTTAACTAGTTTTATTATCTAAAAAAGTTATTCATCCTTCTTGCTCCCAAATTTATAAATTATAAAGGAGAAAATTTCATAAACTCATTCAACTATGTCATGCTGAAAATTAAATAGAAAAAAATTGAATTAAAAACTGGCACTGTGCCTGGTGAGCTATATACATAGATTTATTTTTTTAATAAATACTGGTTGAAAAATGTACAATTATAATTCTGTGGGTGAAAAGTGGTACTTACAAAAATTAACCCTGTTGCTTACATCCACTTTACCAATATAAACTACCAATAATACATATGCATCTATATAATCTCTGGGGAGTGTGGTGGCTATGAAAGATAAGCACAAGGCTGTGAACCACAAGATGGGTGGTTTGAGGCTCTATGAGAGAAAGATGAAGGTTTCTACTCTTGAAAAGATTTAATGTCTCAGAAATCCTACACAGAGGTTGCTATGAGTTGGGGAAAAAAACTTACTACCCTCAATCTCTTCTGAGTCAACAACTCAACATGGGGTTTCTGAAATTACAGGAGCAGACAGCCTCATCTCTTTCCTACAGAGATGCTGGTGGGTTAGATTCACAAACTTTAAGATTAGGAGTCCAGTGCTTATCCTATAGTACAGTTTGCCTTCGCATTTCAAAAATGTTTCACTCTTGATATGAAGTGATAAATCTTCCTTTAGAAAACTCCTACTTAAAAATTAAACCAATGAGAATATAAGCTTTAGCACTGTGGCTCATTCTTAAGTCAACACAAGAATTTATAATCTGAGGTCCATAAAGGGACTCTACATATTCCACATAACTGAAAATATTCATACAAATATACAGATAGGTGATTTGCTTATGAGAGGGTCCACTGCTCTCCTGAGGTTTTCAAAATGGTTGTCTATAAAGAGAAAAAAACTTCTAGGTTACATAAAACCCCTCTTTTCTATTATAGTGCAGCAAATTATTAATGTCTCTTCTACCCTTAGTTTTGTAACTCCCACCAAGTAACTTTTCCTAATGAATCTGGGTAAGAGAAGTTGGGGGAAGACACTGACATGCTTCTGTTGTGATTATTAACAGAGTGCATTATAACTGTAAACTTGAAATAAACATAGCTATGAAATGAGCCACCTTGCAGCAAGTGGGGGGATCTAGCATCAGGAAGAAAGAACCAGGAGCGGAGCCTGTCCTTTGGAAGTGGCAGAGGAGCAGCAGTGGCAGAACTAAGAGCCAAAGAACAAGACAGAAGAGTGGGCCTCCCAGCCCACAGAGCAAGTTCAATTCAACTGAGGGACTTGGAGTAGGAAGCTTGCTTGCAGGATGGGGAGCTCCAGCCACTTAATTGGGGGAGCTAGAGCTGAGTACATCTGGGCTGCATCTTACAGTGGAGTGGTACACCCTGTGGTGTACCCTTACAAAGCAGCCCTACAAGAGCTTTGTAACTTTGCCAGGGACAGAGAGCAGTGTGCCTGTGGGCATGACAGAGGAGAGGGTGTCCTGACTGGGAAGGACTGTGCCCGTAACCGTTTTGACCCTGAATTGTGACCTGTTAGCTTTCCTAGTGAACCCACCAACTGTGAGTATGTGTCTGTGTTCTGTGTGGTCACTGCTGTGAGTAAAGCTGAGGACAATGCAATAAGAGCAATAGGAGGTGTCTGTTTAAAAAAACACAAACCTTTAAAATCCTAGGTAGAACTGATAAGTGAGTTGAAGCATCTTGAAAAGTTATGGTGTACACAACACATTTATGAATGCAAAACTAGCAAAACATTCCCACACAAATAAAATGAAGGGCATTCTTGAGTAAAGAACACTACCCACGTAAGGCTGCATAGGAAGTGCATCTGAAACAGGGGCTGATGAGCCCCACCACACCCGCTTAAAAGAGATTTTGACAATCAGTCAATAGCACTCAATAGCATTCCTTTTTGTATGAAACTCTACTTATCTTTCTCCATACTAGCCAAGCCACATGGGCAAAATTACCACACTTTTGTTACCACTGCCTTAAAAGAGAAAAATCCACCTTTAACTTACATGTTGTTGTTGTTAGGTGCCATTGAGTCAGTACCGACCCATAGTGACCTTATGCATGCAGAGCAGAATGAAACAAGGCCCGATCCTGGACCAACCTCACGCCACGCTTGAGTCCATCAATGCTGCCACTTGGCCAATCCATCTCATTGGGGGTCTTCCTCTTTTAATCTGACCCTCCACCTTACCAAACATGATATTCTTCTCAGCAACTGGTCTCTCCTGACAATATGTCCGAAGTATGAGAGACGAAGTTTGGCCATCTTAGCCTCCAAGGAGCACCCTGGCTGTACTTCTTCCAAAATGGATCTATTGGTTCTTTTGGCAGGCCATGGCACTTTCAATATTCTTCTCCAATAACACCATAACTCAAAGGTATCAATTCTTCTATGGTCTTCCTTATTCACTGTCCAGCTTTTTCATATATATGAGGTTATTACTTACATAGGATTCAAATTAACAAATATACTGATTTAAATGACCCAAACAGAGAATATAAATGAGCACAGATTTTCTATTAATTATTATCAAGAAAATTCTGACATTAACTGTATGATATAATTTTTAACCTGACTTTCAATTTTACCCTGTAATTTCTATAACCAAAGAAAATGTTGTTCCTTCAGATTTTGTTCCATCTTTTCTTCTTAATTATGGGTACTTCAGGGTGGTTTGGGTTTTTTCCCCATTTATTTTGACTTTGGTGTTTGCCAAAATAAATTTGAACCACATAAACCTTAAGGCAGTTCTTTCTAACCAACAATGCATCTCAAACCAATAGTCCACAGGTAAGTTACTGAGATACTATATCAATTTTACAACTCCTACTTTATAAGGCTGTATTTTAATGTTTTGGGGTCCTGGTGTGGTGTGGTGGGCTAATGTGTTGTATTCCAAAGTCGATCAGAACTGTAAAGTCGGCGGTTCAAGCTCACCATCCACTCTTAGGAAACCCTATGCAGGGTCACTATGAGTCAGAAATAACTCAATGGCACTTAACAACAACAAAAACATTAGATTATTATATTCTTAAAAACTGACAACCAGTTTATAGGGAGGTTTTATACAGAGAGTGACACTTACCCCTCCTGCCTTCAGCAACTTTCTTCTAAAATCCTCTGTGGGGTTGTTGAAAGTAAGCTTTTCACAGCGGAGGTGATTTACTGGTGGATGGCCTTCAAGATGCAGGAATAAGTCATAATCAAATCGGACTTTCTTAGGTTCTTCCTGTGTGTTTACAAAACAGAAAGAGATTCGGGCATAAATAGAAATGAAAACAACAAAGGTTTACAACACAGGTTTACTTCTTATAAGGAACAGAAAAGAGCCAGACATCTAAGAATTATGTTTTTGTTATTGTTAAGTGCCATCAAGTCATTTCCAATTCATAGCAACCCTGTATAGGGTGGTTTCGAAGGAGCAGCTGGTGTGTATGAACTGGTGTTCTTACAGTTCAAATGGACTTTGTAGTCCAATGCTTAGCCTACAGCACTGCACCAAGACCCCTAAAAACTATAGTGTCAAAGAAATACTGGGGGGAAATGATCACAAAAGTATGTACAAAACAAATGGAAAAATATGATAAATTGGTTTCTTGTTTTCAGGGGAAAAGAGGAGGAATGAACTCATCATCTCCCCTATAATCTCTCTAGCAATATGACACCATCAACCAGACACTCAACTAGAAACTTCTGAAGCCACTCCCTCCTCATCCTGCCTCATCTAAACTTTCCCAAATCAGCTTCTGTACTCATTTCATTACCAACTCTTCACTTGATCATTAGAATCTGACAGGAAAGTCACTCATCTGTCATCTCAAGATGCCATTCTCTCCTGGTTGTCCTCACATCTTTCTGACCATTCCTTCAAAGTCTTCTTCACAGACTTCTCTTATTTCTCCATTGAACTTAAAAAGTTCCTATTTTGCTGCAAATTTCCTCCAGGACATGGGTCCACTAACAGGGAGTTAATTCTACCTAGATGCCCCTGTCTCTCCCATCCATATCTCCATTGGGATGACTCACGGCATGGGTTAGCCTAAATCCAGTTGTCTTTATATGTCCTTTATATATCTTGACAAATCGAAATCCTAATTTTTTTTTTCCAGATTAAAAATACACACACTATCCCCAATTTTGACTTCTTCCTCACTCAACAGAATCAAATTGCCTCTGAGTTCCATTTAGTATTCCTCTTTAGGGAGAGAGATAGCTGCTGTCCAGCTGACTCCAACTCATGGTTACTTCATGCCCAGTTGAATGAAATGCTGCCTAGAATTGCATCATCCTCGTGATTTCCAGCCCACTGTTAAGGCTACTGTGCCACTCCATCTCACCAAGGGGCTCCTCGCTCTCATTGGCACTCTACTTCACCAAACATGATGTCCTTCTCCAACCATACATCCCCTCCTGATGACTTGCCCAGCAACCAAATCTGCGTGATCCCTAAGATGTCAACTGGAAGTAGGTCACTAGGCCTTTCTTCCTGGTCTTATTCTGAACCTTCTACTGAAACCTGTCCATGATAGGTGACCATGATGGTATTTTAAATATTTGAGGCATAGCTTCCAGCATCACAGCAATGCAAGCCATCACAGTATGGTAAACTGACAGATGGGTGGTGGATTTTCCTTAAGAACTCTCAGATCTACCATTTTTACTCCAGTTACCATCACCATTATCTTACTTCCTGTCTTCCTCAAGCCTCACCTGGGCTCTTCCTGTTTTTTAACTTACCCCATTCTACCTCCCACAAAACCACAATAGTGACCTTCCTAGCATGAAAATCCGGTATCTTTCCAACGATATAAAAAGCTGTTAACGGCTCAATTTATACAGGATAAAAATCCTACTACCTTGGAATATCACTTTTTATCTACACCTTTCCTGTATTTCCTTTGCTCTCTTGCTACACTTGCTCCTACCATCACTTTGAAAAACTTGCAGTTCCCCAATACTTTATGTAATGCCATGCATTCTGATTCTCATATACAGCGCTCCTTGTGCCTATAATGGCTTTCTACCCTGAAATACCTGCCCCCCTTTACCTGTTTAATGCAATTCAAGAAACAGCTAAAGCACTGACTTCTTTGACAATTTCCCAACCCTCCCAATCCAGTCTGAATTTGGCCTAGCTCTTTTATAGGATTCTTCTATTAGTGTAATGATCATGTTATGATTATTATCTGTCCCTCCTCTAAACCATAGAAGAGTCAACACAACCTTAAATTTAATTAAAAACAGACAGAAGGCAGTTTTATGCTTTGTAATTGGAACTATAAATCGGCAAAGCCTTTTTTGGAAGACATTTTGGCATTATCTGTCAACATACTAAACACATGACATTTGACCCAGTAACTCTACCTCTAGGAATCAAATTCACAGAAATACTCAAATATTTGTACCAACATATATATTTGTACCAAGGTGTATTATTAGAAAATGTTCAGGACAGCAATTTTTACAATAACAACTAAAAAAGACAATGATCTGCATTTGAGTATATCAATATCATGAACCACTACTCAGATGTTTAAAATAACTGACTAGAAAAATACTCGAAGGCACATATTTATTAAGTGAGTAAACAGCAAGGTCAGTTTGAGCAACAAGGTTGGCAGTTCAAACCCACCAGGTGCTCCTCGGAAATCCTATACAGGGTCACTATGAATCAGAACCCACTCGAAGGCACTTAACAACAACAATCTCAACAATGACATACACATTATCTATGTAAATACATGGGTTGCCAAACTAAATAGCTAATATAGGCAACCACAAGTTATGAACAAGATCTGTTCTTAATTGTGTCTTTAAAATTTTGTAAGTCAGTTGGAACAGGTGCATATGGTTCTTATTTAGCCTTATTTTAGTGTCAAAAAAGGTTGAACACCTTACAGTGATTTAAAAACTGCATGTGCCCCACATGAAGGGGATTGTGATAAAGAATGTGTTGCTAGTTGGGGTTGGTTTAATTGCTTCAAAGTGAAGACAAGTGTACATAACATTAAAGTAGGGCTTCCAACCAGTAAGTACAACAGTGGAGTCTTGCTCCAAGATGGCGGCACCCCATTCAAAGACTATGGCCATTGCTTAAAGTGTATTTCTTGATCGTCCTGCCAGTAATCTAATATCCAAATTAGATTTGGAATCATCCAAATTGTAAAAATTCAATTGTGTTCCTATATCACTTTATCAGCCATGACAGAACCAAGTGAAATTAATGTGCTGTACTGTAGGATCTGTTTGAACTGCAGAGTTGGCAGTTCAAATCCACCAGCCGCTCCATGGAAACTCTATACAGGGTTACTATGGGTTGGGATCAACTCAGTGGCAATTAACAAGAACACGTACAAATAGGAGTTGTCCATAAGTTGGACATCTATAACATGGGAACTGTCTATAATGGCAAAATGGGGTAATTCCAAAGTTTTATCACATATGAGGCTATATTCATCAATTAGTTGTACACTTGTTAAAATAATAAAATATACTGATGACTATAATCACCAGTAGAAAAGCATGAAGTATTAGCAGCACTGCTTTATAGTCCACAGGAGTTTAACCAAAATCAAACAAAAAACAAGAATACCTTTCAACAAATTAAGGATAAAGACCCCAAAGAGTAACTTTTTCTATGAATCCTGAGTGCAATTTTCTTTTAAAGGTTTTGCTTTTGTTTTTCAATAAGGAAAAAATAACTAATCAACTTGTATGCTGACCAACTGACTATCTCCTCAGACTGTAGACATCAATATCAAGTAATCTATATCCTTCAGAAGATTCTTCTTCCAAGTTCAAATAAGAAGGCATGAAATTTGCTCTTTATACAAAACTAATACATTCTCTAGAGCTAGAAATCTGTTTTTGTCAGCATCAAATTAACTCCTCTTCTTCTGTAGACTGTTGAGTCTTAGACATTTGTTGTTGTTGCTGTTAGGTGCCACTGAGTCAGTACTGACTCATAGCGACCCTACGTACAACAGAAAGAAACACTGCCCAGTCGTGGGCCAACCTCACAGTTGTTGCCACACTTGAGCCCCTTAAACATTTACTCTCATACTTTTTCTGAGGACAAAAGCAGGAGAGTTCTTCAAGCCTAAAGTGCCACATTGACAATGGTTCAATGTACCTGTCTGCTTTGTGTTTCCAAAACAAAAAAAATTCTTACAGACAGGTTTATTTTGTTAAGCACAAGCTCAAAATCAGACAAAATAAATGCATAGTAACTCAAAAGAAGTACTGCAACTTCACATTCCTATTGACTTCTGACATCAAATAAATGAGGAAAACAAAAGACAGGTCTATCAAAAGCAGGGAGAGCCAGGGATGATGATGGGACCTAAGACAGAACAGTATCTGTTACCTAGAGGATCAAGACTACTACAACATCATGTGACATTGCAGCTGCATTTCCCTTGTCGCCTAGAGAAACTCAGTATGCACATTTTTCAGAAGCCATTATTGTAATGGATTTTCATTCGTCAAGACAAAGTTAAACAAACTCCAGAGATGACTAAAACATTCAATATTCCAAAGGAACGAAGTGTATACCATTCTGGAGCATCAGCCTAGTCTGTAAACAGTCACCATCAAGTGGATTCCAACTCATGGCGACCAGGTCTGTGTCAGAGTAGAACTGTGCTCCATTGGGTTTTCTATGGCAAGCATTTTTCCTAAAGTTGTTGTTGTTGTTAAGTGCCATCGAGTCGATTCTATCCCATAGCAATCCTGTATAGGGTTTACAAGGAGCAGCTGCTGAGCTTGAACCACCAACTTTGCTGTTCAAACAATTTTGCAATCTAATGCATTAGCCTGCAGCGCCACACCAGGACTCCTAAAGTACTTCTGGGTAAAGTGGAGCTTCCAACCTTTCATGTAGCACCCAGGGGCTCTCTTAAATTGTCACCTGTGGATTATTTCAATAGGAAAGGCAGCAAGAAATATATGCAGCTCTACTATCCAAACTGGAATCCTAATGTGACACTGAAGGATAACCACTGGACTACTAACCACAAGGCCAGTGGTTCAAAGCCACCAGATGCTCATCAGAAACCCTATACAGGGTTGCCATGAGTCACAGCGAAGTCAACAGCACTTAACAATAACAACTATTAACCAGATTAGAACATAACACACCTGATTTCTAAGACATTCTATGAAGACAAATTAGAATAGGTGAAGAAGCAATAATTACCTTTTTGTAATTAAAAAAGTTAAGAACATAAA